AATTTATTTAATTATGTATATTTATATGAAATATACGTTGATGATATAACAGTGTTGTTATTATTATTATTATGTAAATTAAAAAAGGTGAGAAAAAAAATGTTTTTTTTTTTTTTTTTTTTTTTTTATTATTAAATTGTGGTTTTCTTTCAATCACATTTACCAATTTAAAATCGATGAACCTTTTTAACCTTTTAATGAACCTTTCAACGAACGAATAAAAACTTTTTTTTTCTTTTTATTATTATTATTATTATTATTATTATTATTATTATTATTATTATTATTGTTAATTAATTTAATAACGTTTAAAAAGAATTTGTTTAGTTGTTTGGGTGTGGGTGTGCGTGGTGATTTTAAAACAATTTATTCGTTAACTAAATGATTTTATTTTATTTAATTAAATAAATAATAATTTGAGAGAGAAAAAAAGTCTGAACAAAACGACTCGATCCGTTAAAGAATTTTTCTTTCAATTATTAACGACGTTTATATTACAATTTTAAAAAAAATTCAAAATGGCGTCTTTATTAGTGTCGTATTTTTCAATTAACAAAAACAAACATTTATATGTATAAAAAACCTTTTTTCGCCATGATTATTTTTAATAGTTTAGTAAAAAAAAAAAAAAATTATTTTTCGCAGAGCAAAACGGAAAAATTCGTGCTTTTGAGATATTAAACAAACGAAAAGAAATTTAAATAGACAAAAGATTGCATAAGCTAAACAAAAGATTTAATATTATTTTATTTTATCCATTCTACTACTGAAAAACCTTTGGAAAATTATTTAAATTTCTGGATTATAAGCTCTGACTGGAACACAACACACAAACGAAAAACATTTTAATAAAAATTTAATTTTTTTATTTTATTAATAAAATATATATATATATATACATAAACAATTTATTTGTTTATTAATAACAATAAAAAAAAAAAAACTTTGATTGTTTTTGTTTTTAACAAAAAAAATTTATTATTATTATTTTTTTTTATATAATTTAAATGGATCTACATTTTTATAAAAAAAAAAAGAAGCAATAACGGCCATCTTTTTTTTTTCTCTCTTAAATTCATGGTTTTCAATGGCTTATAAAATAAAAAATATATAAAAAAAATACGGAATATTTTTATTGGTAGAACTTTTTTTTTTTGAAAGCCTTAAGGCAATATTTTTTTTTTTATAAAAACCTTCCATGAGTTTTTTTTTTCTCCATAATTTAAAACAATAATGGTTTTTTTTTTAAAAAAAAGTCTAATTTTAAA